TGGTTCATGGGGTCACGAAGAGTCGGACACGACTTAACGACTAAACAACAACAACAAGCCACCAAACCTGATTCTTGCCCCTGTGGAACCTTTGGCCACTCAGGTGGAGTTGTTCTTCATATATTAGGCATCATTCATAGGAAGGGAAACTTAGTTTACGTTTGGCTGCTCTTGAGATGCTGGACTTGAGATCCCCTGTTGATCTAACCAACACATTCTTGTAAGGGGCTAATTAAAGCATATTTCATGAATGTTTATGACTTGAGAAGCAGTCTGGCTATCTAAAATAATATACATGTTGCTGCACATGCCATACTTCAGAAAAAGTAAATCTGTACATAGAGATCTGAGAAAACTGTATGTTTTACCAAAAAGTACTGTTTAAAAAATGTTTGCATTTTGTAAATCTGGTAACATTTATATCTTGCTTTTTCCTTAAAGAAAAACATCTAAAAATCATAAAAAAATATCTGAACCCAAACCTCCAGGATCTTCAGAGAAAGCTGAATTAAAGAATGAAAATATAACACCTCAGAAGCTTCCTAATGAACTTTCAAAGAAGTCCAATGGGGTAAGTTATTATTTTAGCTCTGAGGCCAGACTGAGACAGAAAAAAAGGCCATGGTCAGATTTGATAAAATACAAAATTGTTGCAAATTTTGTTTCAAATTAAGGAGAAAGAGTACCAATTAATTCTTAATGCTTCCATCTGTTTCTTTTTCCATAATGATACATATTTCAGCTATATTCAACTGGAGATGCACAATCATTGGCCCCTAAAGTGTTGGGAATTACCGAACCTACAGAAATTGCCACTGAATTGTAATTTTTCATGTCATGGAAGAAAACTGTAATCCATGGAGACTAATGAATTAACTGCTTCAGTTTAAAATAAATTTAGATTTTGCTCAGTTACTAGTCAGTTCCTTTTCCTGTGTTGCCCATTGTTTGGGGTGCAGTGCCTGGCATGCCACTCAAAAGCGAAGTTAATCTCTTGTTCCTCGCAAAGTTGTGTACCTCTGTAAGGCACAGTCTGCTCAAGAATAGTAGGACTAATCCTTGGAGAGCC